TCAACGACAGCCATATCTGGCCTTTTTTTGCTAGATCCACTGTGGATCTAGTCGGAAAAGACCAGATCGGTGAATTAATGGCCAATTTCGTTCGTGGTATATGCCGTTGTGACATATTCCGACTACCACCAACGGTGGTTGCCAGAATCTGGCAAGTATGGGTTGGTGGGGGTGTTTTTGTTAATTTTTAAACTTTTTTTAGTGGTATTTATGAAATTAATAAACTTAAGGGATCTAAAAATAATAATATTTCTCAAATAATGTGCCAAACAATATCTGGGGAGTAGGATGGAGAATATGAGTAAGGATATAGATCCAAGCGCATCCTGAGATATTTATTGGTAGGATTTATTATGAATTTTAATAATATATAATAAGTAAACTTTTTATCCATTGAACGTGCTATCAACAGTCATAAAATTTTGATAATTAAAAAGAAAATATCTCAAGACCTTGACCCTTTTGCACATTGAACACTTCAAATTATTGACAACACTGGTTTCTTGGCAGCTCCTGAATTCTATCGTCTCTTTAATTCAGCAAGGAACATGGTCGGTCAATGAAATTATAAAGGTTGTTTGTCTTCTTCTTTTTCTTCTGTCAAAATGAAATTCATTGCTGTCCTATTATTTATCCGAGTAATGCTAGCCTTATTCACCTCTCCTACTCACTTCTCAAATATTATTTGACACATTATTTAAAAACTATTATTATATTTTTTTAATTATTTTTAAATCCTTTGAGTTTATTAATTTCATAAATACTTTTAAAAAAAATTTAAAAATTAATAAAAATATTTCTACCGACCCATACTTATCAGATTTTGATCACTACCGTCCGTGGTAGTTGGGGTTCTTATTATCATTAAAAAAATTATAAAATCTTATCTCCAACAAGAAGATCAATTTGGGTTTATTCCTTGGAACCTACTCTAATCTGTCTTATTCAATTAAAGGGTTTGTGTCAACGATAATACTTTGCATACTAAAGAATTTTACTAACCAGCGTACTAACTTAAAGCATAGTACGGGTATCATACGCATAGTAAAGATACCATAAGTAATTTTAACAAAGGTTAGTAAGATGATTAGTACAATCCGTGAGTACGCATAGCATTACTCTTATGTCAAATATCAATCAATCAAGATCAATTGTTATGGTTGGTAGGTTTCATTCTTTTTTTTAATCTTTTTCTGTAACTTCAGGAATGGGGTATCATTCCCACCTTCTAATCGCATCACATTTTCTCTCGTATTCTTTTGATTCTTTATTGAATTTTTTAGGCTTTCTTCGTAATTGAAAACAACTCAATTTCTCATCAATTTAATGACACTATACCAACAGTAAACCAACATAACTATGCAATAACAAAAAATCCAAGCTTAAATAATCAAAAGAAAATCACCGCATCTCACGAACAACATAACCATCAACCATGGACAAATTAATGAAGATTCTTCAATAAACAAAAACACAGGTAATTAAAAAAAATACTTGTGAACTAATTTATTTTGTAGAGTACAAAACATTGAGATATTTATTTCGTTGGATTTATGTTATGGTCTAATTTAAAAAATACTTTACTTTTTGTGTTAGCTAAATAAAGTGTTTATTTGTGAACTATCTTAACCATGTTTTACGTTCCTTAAATATTATTATAAACATATTATTTACAAAGAATATAGTAATATAATAAAAAATAATATCATTACTCCTAATTAAATGGTGTTCTCTCAATTCTTACACCCACATAATTCTTACAGCTTCCTCTTCATTGACTCCGAAGTCAATTACATAGTATGTGTACAACTTATCATGAGTAATTTCTATCACATTTTCATTTATTGTTTCCTATATATCTTGTACATGAAATGATAACAGTATCCCTTGACAATTTGAATGACACTGAAATGGCAAAGGTGCTCTACAAAAATCCTCAATCCACACCATTTTTGAAAAAATAAAAGAATAAAGTCATGATTAAAAAAATACTTGTGAATTAATTTATTCGTAGGATATAAAATATTGAGGGTCTGTTTATTTTATTATTTTGGATAGGATTTTAGGAATAATATTGGGTGGTTGAATAGAGGAGTATTACGAGGTAAAATTTAAAAATTTATAAAATAAAAAAACTCCTAGATTTGCTAATTTATCTAAACACCTTAATATATAAAAATTTTGTGAAATGACAAAAACATCCCACCACCCGCAATGCCAAATTCTGGCTACCACCGTCGGAATCTAGTCGAAAAATTGCGTAACGACACATACTGGTCGAATTTGGCAGGTATGGCGTCGATATGGCCTTTTCCGACCAAATCTACAACTAGATGTGGCCGTCGACAGCCGTAAAAGCCTATCTTTGCCCGTCAGCAATGGCCAAAGATATGGCCATCATTGACGACCAAATCTGGCATTTTCCGGCCAGATCTACTGTGGATTTGGCCGAAAAAGGTCAGATCAGTGAATTACCGGTCAGTTTCGGCCGTGGTATAGGCCGTTATGACAGATTCCGACTACCACCGACGATGGTTGTCAGAATCTGACAAGTATGGGTCGGTGAGAGTGTTTTTGTTAATTTTTAAATTTTTTTAAGGTATTTATGAAATTAATAAACTTAAGAGGTCTAAAAGTAATTAAAAATTAATAAGCTAATTGCACATTAATATTTTTATAGTACCATTTTTCAGAAAGGTTACACCATAAATGGCCACCATTTGAGTGGCCATAAAATCTGTAGACTTGACTCTATGTGCACCAAGAACAGGAGGTTTTAAGAACTGGCCAACTGGGTACATGTATAATTAATGGATATGCATAAATTATGAAAGGAAATTGTCAATTTATATCTAAATAGCTGCATATGAATTCGTAGAAGGCACTTCATTGACAGTTCCTAGTTATCTCTCATTTTCACCCATTAAAAAATAAATTCATCAAACTGTGACATCAGTTTGGTAAAAGTCCTCAGTTTTCAATAATAGAACTTAAATTTATAGGTGCCGGTCTTGTTAATCTTCATCTAAAATAATCACAAGGTCTAAACGTTTATCAATGCAGTTATTAAGTGAATTAGTGGCTTTTCCAACAATATGGAAGGAGTCTTTGCACCAGTATCCACCATAGAATGATTTTTTTTTTTTTTTTTAATGATCTGGGTGTTCAGACCAGCTTACGCACGGCTTAACTAATTCTTCGGAACCTTGAAATGAATGACCAGGTAAATCCCTTCAATGGTCATCCCTGTTAGTATCTAGAGAGACTTAAACTCAAAAACTCATATTAGACCTCTTTATTCTTTTATCATCAGGTCATCCAATGGTGATTATAGAAGGGTTACTATCATGGACTAAGAAAAAAATTTGCTGCGAACAAAACAATCTGATCCCATACTGATTTATTAAGTTTCATGGAATCATTCTTCACTTAAAATATGTTTATTAGATTTAATCTAAATTGGTAGGTGATATTTTCTCAAGAAAGTTGTTATCATTTTGATATCAATACTTCACATGTATCGATATCAATACTTCATATGTATTGGAATTGGTCTCTAACATGTTACTATCTTCATCTCATCATGTTATTTATCTTCATCTAAAATAATTACAATTTTCAAACATTTATCTTGTTGTGCAAGATTTTCCAATAGCTAGATTCATGACAACTATTTATAAACCCTACCGAAATCTAGCGGTCAGAATCATCCTGCGTGTCGCTCCTATAGCAGATGACTTCTCCAACAAGCTCAACAATACTAAGTATATGTGTTCAGACTTAAGTATGAACAGAAATTGATTCAAATCTTGATTATAGGGGATTATGCATGTAATCCACCCCATAATATCAACCTCCAACCATTATCAGACAGTATATATAAAGGGAAGTCTCACCTCCGTTTTAGGGGATCGATCGATTATTATTCATACAAGCATAGGAAATCACCGAGAGAGAATCTTAGCTCGTTATTACATGTTTCCTTCTTATAATCACTTTGGGTATACAACAAACATAAGCAATAATATAATAGTAGACATAGTTTTGGTTCTAATCCACCGAACCATTTTAAAAATCTTTCGTGTTCTTGCATTACAGATTCATCAATTCTTTCGTAACTGAATATTTATAATTATACACACATACTACTCAATCCCACTGTGGTCGATTGTCTAATTATTGCCAGTTGTCGTAACAACATATCTTTCTAGCTATAAAATGAATTAGTTGTTATTCCTCCATTACATGGCAAAAATCACAGTAAAGTTAGAAAATTCTTGCTTTATTCCTCCAATATAAAAGAAGGCCAATTCAGTAATTTGGACTCGTTGAGACAAAAGTTAATTGTCTCCCCACGTGGCCCCAACACTTGTACTTTCGACATTCAATGTCTGAAATAATGAAAGTACGATCCACTCATGATTCACGTTCAGAGCACGCGCCATACGTCACTCTCCTCTTTTCATAATAATTTATGTTCTTGTGGTTTGTGTAGCAGGTAAACTTATAAAAAGTCCACATCCATTGTAGCAGTAAAAAAAAACTCTCTGTTTTCTTCATAAAAAATATGCGACAGAGAACATATTCGTGACGACTGTGCCTTCCAGAAACCATTTTTTTCCTCAGTTCACGAAAATCTATGATGATATACATGACAACAACATTTTATCAGAAACTTTTTTGGCTCGGTTTGTGTTAATTTGCTTTCAGCTTTTAACACCCAAGGACCCCTTGGCTTCAGTTGATTGAGTTTTGGCTTCAAGCATCAAGGTTGATTCATGTTTGGCTAGAATGATCTTTATTTTGCACTTAGGAAGAAGAAAAGTCAATTAATGATAGCTAAGTAATTCTATAAGACTTAGCATTCTGATAGGAAACTTGAGTTGATTGTTCACCTTCCCCTTTAACATGCTTCCTACAGCCAAATGTTCTTCTGGGGTTCAAATGCTCACTCTTTTGTTGGAAGTAAATGTTCTGTTAATGCCAAATTATCATTGACNTCTTGACGGGTATGCAACCAATATCAGATGGAAAAAACATAGTTCGCGAGGTACTTTCTAACACAGAGAACTCTTTCCTGAATATCTATTCCCTGTTGCATACCTTTCTTACGAGAAAACGAAACCTATATCCAGGTGAATGTAGCTCGTGAATCGGGCTTGATGCTCTCCATCATAGACAATAGAATGGGGTCTTGCCCATCTGAATGCATCCAGAGGTTTTTAGCTTTGGCCCTCAATTGTTGCCATGACAAGACAGAACGACGGCCATCCATGTCAGATGTAGTGAGGGAGCTAGAAACCATACTGAAGATGATACCAGAAACTGATGCCACATTTTCTGAATCCACCTCCATGCATTCTAGCAGCAAATCAGCATCCGCATCAGCTTCTTCATCGTTCATGACGAGGGATCAATATTTTTCATCTTATGGATCAGGCAGTGACCTTTTGAGTGATGTCATTCCCATAATCCCACCTCGTTAAAACGCTGCAAAGGAGTAAAACCTTACTCTATATAGGAATAAACTTATAAAAAATTACATTCCTAATTTGAGATAATTATAAATAAGAATAAACTCTATATTATAATAAGTTATAATTTTTCTAATTTTCATCTTAAGGAAAATTACCTCCACATAGTAATAATTATATGTATATTATAAAAAAATATATAGTATGTTACATTAAAAGTTTAAGATGAAATAAAATATTTATCTGAAGTTGTTTGAGACAATAATTTATATTTTAGAGTTGTTATTACATCTTTTAACTTGCGGGTATATTATCTAGAATGAACATTTTTTTGTTAAAGCCAAAATATGTCTTAACTTCTTAAGCATGTTTAGAGCTTCTTGATATGAAATTATTTGTATTTTCGTACTATTATTCTCGTAATTATTTCATTTCTCTTCTTGTTTAATTATAGAAATGATTTTTTCTTTTGTTAAAACATACGTAATTTGTTACTCATTTGGATGATTAAGGAAGATATTACTATTAATTCAATTAGTGTAGTGAAGTTATCGAATCTGATCACTCAATTTTACAATGACTCTTTGATTTTCTTCATCCACTTCATTTATAACTTGCAATTCATCGACATTGGGGGTCTTAATTTTGTAATGCTTAAAATAATTGACAATTGTTTATGACTCACATCAGTTGTCATACAGTAATTGTATTTACAATTCTATCAAAGACAATTATCTTTGTTGGTTTCAAAATACGATCTTCTATCCGTTTCAAAAGTAGGCAATTGAAGCGTTGAATTGAAACTCTAATATTATTCAAACATGAATTAAAATCTTAATATTGTACCACTAAAACATGAATTTTGAAATAATAAATATTTTTAACTACACCTCTATTAAGTTATAACTTTTTTGTAGTAATAAAATTAGTTAGTTTTACCATTATGATTACGGAGAAGTTTAACTGTATTAGTGAAACAGTGTACATTCATCAGAGTTTTTGCAGGCACATTATGTTTCTTGGGTACTGAACTCTACACAAGAGTTAAATGAACTTCGAAGGAATGAATCATATTAAATATAACTATCGTAGAAATTTGCTTTTGTCTTATATACGGTGTATATCTTTTATTTGAATATACAGGGATTTTTTTTTTTTTTAGTTTTTAAGAGTGAATTTTACGCATAATGTTAGATGCAAGACATATTAGGTTTAGACTTTAACCCAATATGTAACACATGATTGACATGTTTAATTTTCTGCGCGCTATACATGAGAGAGAATTGGCATTTATCTCGCATTACGCTTCACGTTACGACAAGGGGGTATTAGAATTTACATTTGTCCTATGTCGTGAAATTGTTAGACTATGATAGTGTATATTACATATTTAATTATCATTTTATATTTTTCATTTAGTTGTATACATATATGTTAGCGATGGATAGTTCGAGTGTGGTAAGACAAGTGCTAGTTATCTACTTCTTTTGCATCTCCCCCGAGAATTAGTTGCGTGTAAGTTGGTCCAAATATAATATGATATTAATAATAATAAATGCACAAAAATAAAATACCCAAAAATATAAAATATAAAAAGATCTTAAAGAATCTTATATTATATCTTAGCTATTGATAAAAGATATAAAAACAAATTTGGATAAAAATAAATTGATCTTTATCCAATACCAATTAGGGGTGAGTGATTCTGGGTATCCTGCATTTTTTGAGGAAACTAAAATCGAAATCGCATAGTGTAGGTTCCCAAAAAAAGGAATCAAAACCTAAAATGCAGGTTCTGGTTCCTTACCCAAGTACCTTGTAAAAAATCGATTACCCCCTATTAGTTAAAAAAATGATAAAAATACCTTAAAATTTTACAAATACACCCCTAACAAATTAAGAAAACCTACATTTAGTAGTTTTCAACTTTTGATTACTCATTCATTTGTGTCCAATGTGACTCAGAAATCCTCTAATCTCCAGGCAACACTTTAATTCAATCAATTCATCACAATTCACATAGAATTTCTCAATCAAAACCAAAATGCAAACAAGTTTCAAGCAGGTTCCAAGCCAAGTGCCCGCTTTAGGTTCTTTTCTCAAGTTCCAGTTTCGGTTTCGAAACCTGTAGGAACCGGAGCTGGAATTGCACCGTATCGGTTCCAATAAAATGGGACCGAAACCTACCCGCAACGTGTCAGTTTCAGATAGGTTCCAGTTCTGGTTCTACCCGCAGGTTTCGGTTCTACCTGCTACCCGTGCTCACCCCTACTACCAATAATTTAAAAACTTCGTTTTAAAATTGACATAAAAAGAAAAAAGAAAAAAAAAAGGAAATCCTATTAATAATATTAATTTACAATAAACAAAAATGTAGAGGGCAAAACAGTCCACCGACTGACGAAGTACTTCTGTTGACTTTCTAAAGTCTCTATGCCTCGTCTGAAAACCGCTTTGTTATATTTGTACTTGTAGGCTGTAGCGCGAAAAGTGGTATTGAGTTTAGTGGTTTTGGGATCCTTTCCTGAAAACAACGTGCCATGACCTCCTTTTTCACTTCGTGTTCTTATTATCATTAAAAAAATGATAAAACTTTATCTGCAGGAAGATCAATTTGGGTTTATTCCTTGGAACCTACTCTACTCTGTCTTATTCAATTAAAGGGTCTGTGTCAACTATCAATCAATCAAGATCCTTTGTTTTGGTTGGTAAGTTTCATTCTTTTTTAATCTTTTTCTGTAATTTCAGGAATTGGGTATCATTCCCTTCTTCCAATTGCATCACATTTTCTCTCTTATTCTTTTGATTTTTTATTGAATTTTTTAGGCTTTCTTCGTAATTGATGTTTTTTTGGGTTTTGGGTTTTCATTTCTCCTGAATTGCGAACGATCTCTCATTTTCCATTTTGAATTGGGGTTCTTAACCATGTTTAACGTTCTTAACCCAATATAATATATTGCTGTTTAAATTTCATTGACAACTATATTATCGATTGTAACTTAATCTTGGTTACGTCTTTAAAAAATGAAATATAATTATGGTTCGATTTATAATTATAGTAGTCAAAATTAATTAATTCTCAGACTTTACAAAAGAAAAAAATAAATCAGTTACTCCAAATTTTATGCAAAAACTAAAGAGAATGGTTCAACTTAATAGTTTCTAAAGTTTAGTTAACCATATAATTTCAAAGGTACCCTTTAGACATCCCTACAATGTTTCTTAACAATAATTTTACCACGTTCCTTGCTATACTCCTAATTAAATGGTGTTCTCTCAATTCTTACATCCACAAAATTCTGATAGTTTCCTCTTCATTGACTCGAAAGTCAATTACATAGTATGTGTATAGCTTTTCATGAGTCATTTCTATCACATTTTCATTTATTCATTTATTGTTTCCTATGTATCTTGTGTTAGGGCCAAAAATGGTCTTGGACTTGACGAGACCCAATAATGAAAGAAACATGTCACGGCCCAAGGCTTCAACCCAATCTGATTGGGCCTATGCTTAAAATCATCTTGTGAACTACCCACTCTATGAGATAGGCTATCCTATAAGTTAAGCTAACTGTGTTTCAGCCCATTAGCCTACAACAATCTATAAATAGGAAATCAGAATCTCATTATATTTCCTCTTCTACTAAGATTCAAAATCTTACTCAAACTATCAAACTTGATCTGATAAGGTCAAGAAATCATATCTCTTTCATAATATGGATTATCTCCCAAAATAGTTTTTAGTATCCTACTAAGATTCCAAATCTTATTTAAACTATTAAACTTAATCTGATAAGGTCAAGAAACCATCTCTCTTTCATGATAGGGATTATCTCTCAAAATAGGACTTAGTGTCCTACTAAGATTCCAAATCTTATTTAAACTATTAAACTTAATCTGATAAGGTCAAGAAATCATATTTCTTTCTTGATATGGATTATCTCCTAAAAAAGAGGACTCGATGTCCTACTAAGATTCCAACCCCTTGAGTTCACTATAAAAACAGAGATTTGCCCTCTCATTAAGTATATAATCTCCCATAATCAATCTACACTACTCAAAACCATCTATTTGCCTTTAAAGTTCTTGTTCCCAAGAACCCGACGCCTCTACCGTAGTCCTAGCTCCTAACAAGACTCTTGGTAATTCTTCATCTCCTTAATTTTTATCAAATAATCTCTTTCAACCTTGCTGACTTGAGCGTCGGAGTGCCTACAGCAAACACCACCCCCGTGTTTTCTGGAAGCTTCACGCCTATCCTTTCATGTGTGCAGGTCTAGTGGATTGTTAGTGGCCTCAACCTCACGGGATCAGACCCTATTTTCATGACGGTAGATTTTTTGCATCTACAGTTCGGCGCCCACCGTGGGGCCCTGACAATCATCTGCCAACGATGACTTACAACATTGGAGGCAACACGGGACTCTTTTTGACTGACAATGTTAATCAGAAAATCCCATCTCGATAAGAATTTTTTTTTCTTTTTTTTTCTTCGTTTGTTTTATCTATTCACATGCCATATTATATCTATTCGACATATCGTAAGTTATTTTATATTATATCCATTCAGCGAGTAGTATAAGACCTTGAAGCTCATATTATTGTTCTAAATTAATAATAGAATAATAATGTGTCAGAGTTTAAAGTGGTGTTCCTAAACCACTTGATTTATTGACTTTGATTCAACAATCTCTCTTCTCTAATACTCTATTTAGATAAGGCAATAGCTTCTGTCTCTAATCTCTCTACACGCGCCTTTTCACTTCAATCATCAAACCACCAGGTAGTTCACCATCGTCATCAGAGCTTTGCAATGCATCAACCGCCATAAAACCAGTCAATTTGTTCATTCAAGAGATGTCGCAATACGCCAACATCTCCAGGACCTCCACTCCATTAGAAGGTAACTCAAACTCGACCAACCTTGATCCAATCCCAATTCAACTTCACGAAGATTTTCCACCACTTTGAAACCCAAAACCGGTCCACCTGTTCTCCTAAAATCGCCCTAA